GTTCAGTTATGACATTTTAAATATGTAATTTGTATAAAAATGAGAAAAAGTCAAAGATGTGAACTTTTGTAAAATGATTTATTGAAATAAATATTTATATTTAATAATATTGATTGAATATGAGACTAATTTTAATTACATATCAATTAATTCAATTTTGACTCTGTCAAAGTCAACACCCAAAAATATGCTGTCAGAAAAAGTATTTCAAATAAATATAAAAATTATATCATTAAATAGAGTTTGACTGTCTCATCGCAACAGTGTAAACGGATTTCAATTTGGATAAAGTTGGACCAAAAAGTGTACCCCAATTGAAGTAATTTAATCAAACTAAACTGGAAGGAATTAAATAGCAGCCGCCTCCTCCACTCACGGCAATCAAACGTAGGAAACCACAGGCTTCAAACTTCAAACGTAACTCCCTCTCCCAGGCCTATATATAGAGCCATACATTCTTCATCATTTTCACACCAAAATTATCCCATTAGTTAGAGGAGAGTTCAGAGAGTCGAGAGAAGCTGTCCGGAGAGCTTCCCGTCGCCGGAGCAAGCGGTGGTGTTCGCCGGAAGTTTCGCCGTTTTTCCGCCGGAATCATCGTTTCACTTCAATGTAAGCCCGTAGATATATCTAGTGACTAGAATGTTCGTATAGATCGTTTCTACGCTCATAAATGGTTGTTTGGTTGAGTTTTGTGTTTGACATATGTGAAGAACCAAGAATCATAAACCTTGAATTTGTTGTTAAAACTTCGAATTGATGCCTCTAAAATGATCTACGAACCTTGGAGAACATTTCTATATAGTTTAATTGAAGTTTGGTGACCAAAAATGGAACTTGAGAAAAATGGGTTAGAGGTTGGAGATGATGAATAGTAATCCCTTCATCTTCCTGCACTTTCCAACGGAACGGACGACCGTTCAAACCCAACGGTCGACCGTTATGAACATTTTTAAGTCCAAAAATGCTATTTTTGAAGCTATAAAAGCCTAATTTTTTATACCAATCAATTATGATCAATATAAAAATAATTGTTAAAAATAAAAATGATGTTTTGACAAATAAAATTTCATGTGATAAAATAAAAATGATGTTTTGACAAATAAAATTTTATGTGATGTATGACGGTAAGCTAAGGTGTTAACACTCGATGCTAGGCCGCTATTGTTATTTGATATTGTGATGATTATTATTGATGTTGTTTATGATTAGACTTTGATGAATATTATTATTAAAATAATAATTACGAATGATTAAATCATGTTTAGAAAAATGAATATATTGATGATTATAAAAATGATTTGTATTGTTAAGGATATCTAGAAGAACTCTAAGATATACC